AAGGGCCAAGCAGAACGACGCTTGCGAGGCTGCCCCAAGCCTGCGCAGCAGCGTTGTGTTCTGTTACACAGAGGGTTGTTTGGTGGCCAGCACCGGGACTGGGGTGTCCATTGCGCATGCTCAGAGGTTCAAGCTTCTGTCCAGGAAGGCGTGGTACACCTACCTAAGTGGGTGTTATACATGGATTGGCCCTTCTGGGCCAGGTGAAGTCAATTCAGCCAAAGGGGTTGACCGGGATCAGCGACCATGCCTCCCAGCAGTGGAGCTGAAAAGGCGTGAACCAGAGCCCGACTTGCTTCAATGCAGGCTGTGTGTGGGTGATGGTGGTGAAGGGGGGGGGGGGGGGGGGCTTCGAGGGTGCCTGAAACTTCTATCTTTCATAAAATTCACTTGAATCACAATCCAGACTTTGGAGTGAATTCTTTCTGGGGTAAAGCCAAAGACCCAGGTATTTCTCCCACGAGAGATGTCAAACAGGGCTACTATGAGTCAGAACTGACTCAATGGTGTGGGATACAGAAAGGTTTTTTTAAAAAAAAAGAAAGAAAGAAAGGTTTTCCCCCAGATTCTCCATATTGTAGGCCGGGCCTAGGACTCTGCTTGCTAGGGCATGGGAACTCAGCTGCTTAGAGGTTTTCTCCTTGAGGGTCTCAGCCATCTAGATTGGTCAGACTCTATTGTCTGTCCCACCCACTGTAGGTGGGGCCCCACTCCCTGCTGATAAGGATAATGGATTGTTTCCCTGAAGGAGAGCCCTGAGACAAAGTCAAGCCAACTCGAGGAGGACCAAAGTTAGGCTGCCATCTTGAAGCTAGGATTTGCCCATCTTGTCACATGCGTTTGTCACATGTGTACTCCTAGTCCCTCCCCTTCCTATTGTGTGTATGCCTATTGGACAGCCCCTTCCTGTTAGGATGTGGTTACCTTTAATCAGGGGGACTTGCATGCCCCTAAGTGTATATAAGCCTTGGTTAGAAATATATCCACCCTCTGCCTGGACCTGGCTGCTGGGATCGTGGCCTTCCAGGAGGTGAGCATGCTGCTATGAACTGTGTCTGACTTCTTTATTTGACTCTCCTATCTTCTGTGACTTTACTGTGACCTTTATATATTATCGCTGTACAATTGTGCCTGTGGACCCCTCAGCTGTTAGAGGCTGGTTTACTCTGACACATGGGGCCTAATAACAACAAGTAACAATACCTTCACATGTCTGGAGGTGGCCGCATGATGGCATATGCAGACACATCCTTAAAACAGTCGCCACACACACACACACATACACACACACACATTTAGATACGGCTATATCTGCCAGCAAGCACAGCCTTCAAAGAATTCAACCAAGACACAGCCATTTTTTTTTCCATAAAAACAGTAACTTAAAAAAAATTATTTATTTTTAATCATTTTATTAGGGGCTCATACAACTCTTATCACAATCCATACATACATCAATT